ATATTGCGGCTCAGCGACAGCTAATCGACCAGAAACTTGCTTGAAATTCCAGGCTTCGAACAATCATGCAACTAATCGAATCGCTAGCTTGGGCCGTCGATCAGCCACATCGGCACACGTTGGATCAAAAACTCTCCTTCCAGACGCACCAGATTCTAGCGTCTAGGCTACCCCCTCCAGAAAGGGTCTGAAATATGGGTAGGTGGTGCCGGGAGGTTACAGAACTTGCGCAACGTAGGCAGGATTCAGCCACATACGTATGTTGCGCAAAATTGGCGACATTGCTACGTAGGGCCCATATACATACTAGGAGCCCCTGGGTCTTATTAAAGCTAGGAAGACGAGTGCAACTTTCAGGCATTGATCTGAAGGGTTCCATTCGCTAGAGGAACTCAACACCGTAACGTCCTGACACCCCCACAAGGCCTGTGATCCAGCCTCCGACGTCGCCCGAGTCTGGCCCGCCGAAGCTCTGGCTTTTGTCGGAATGCTTCTCTCGATTTCCTCGCTCTGCCTTGGACTCGGACTATGGATGTAAATCAAAGCCACGCCTGTATAGGTGTGCGAGCGCAGACGATATGCAGACATACCTGTGTCTGTCTATATGTGCATGCCTGTGAGTGTACATGCATATGTTTCAGTATATGCGCATGTCAGCGTATATATCTGCATCTGTATCTGCGCATGCTGCTGTACTGTATATGCTTGTGTACATGTACATTGACATATACATGATACATGGATATGAAGGTAATGTATGCAATGTATGCAATGTATGTAATTATGTATGTATGTATGTATGTATGTATGTATGTATGTAAGTATGTAAGTATGTAAGTATGTAAGTAAGTAAGTAAGTATGTATGTATGTATGTATGTATGTATGTATTGGTACGTATGAAGTATACATGTGTTTACGCTTGTTCATACTCACTCATGTGTACATGATGCGCATAACTTTCTGTTTGCGCCATTATCATTAGCTGCGGCTCATTTCATCGCGTGTGTTCGTTTCTCTCGCCGTAGCCGTAGAGCCACTGTAGAGCCTGTCTCTCGGTCTGTCCATGCTTCTCTGTGCCTGACGTACATCAATACATGCCCACATGGAAAGGAAGCCAGGGGGCAAACATGCAGAAATACTCTGCACACGAATCAGTAAACTTGCTCAGTTCATGTGGCGGCTTGGGTTGGAAGGATTGGGTGAGCACCACCGGCATAAAAACGTGCTTCAGATCAACAGATCTGACATCATGTCTGTCAAGTCTTCATGTTGAATCGCTGCGTGCTTGAACGACCGAACCCCCAAAAGCACGAACCCAGCCGGAAAGTACAATGCGGCACGACTAACGAAGCGAGGACCGGCTGCGCTGGTGCGCAGGAGCACGACATGCGAAGAAGAAAATGATACCACCAAGGGAAACAGTGCTTATCAGAGAGCAAACTCACACACACACACACACACAGACAGAGACACGCGCGCGCGCGCACGCAGCTGTTGCGACACAACGTAGCCACTCCCACTGGACAACCCTGCAACGCTTCCCGGATTGCGCAGGAGGCAAGCCTCGCGACGCTTCTTTCGTGCAGCTTCGGCAGTCACAAGCAGGAGCTCGATGAATGACACCGCACAGTACCGTGCACGAGGCACCACTGAGTGCAGCAACAGAAAACGGAGGCAAGGTGTGTACCAGAGTCGAAACTGGGTGTTGCTACAGTTTGGTGCTGCGTGAAGTTTTGCATCCCTAGACATACTCAAAACCTGAAATGCCAGCAAGTCTGTCAAGAAACTTCGCTTCGGGCGGTTTCCGCGCCTCCCAGTCCTGTGTCGAATACTGTCGGAGGCTCGGGAGTCTCTGGGCAGGTCACGAACCTTCTCGTGCGCATTTTCCATGAAGGCGTTAGTCTTGCCAACGTGTCACACCGTGGTTCATTTTGCGTTGCTGGGTTGTTGCATACTTGGCTCGCTTCTTACACGAAGCATTGTACCAGCAAGTCATGGGATTGCTTCTACATATGCTGCCAGACATTTCACGGATTGAAAGAACCCTGTACTGAGAATCTGAAGCTCAACTCCAGACCAGAGACAAAGCTCTCGGAGTGCAGAGTTTTGGGATGAGGATGAGTGCCCCTGACGGATAGAAAACCCCACACGACATCTTCCCCAAGAAAATCACATAATACTATTTGGAGCACACAAGTATGCAAAGAATGACAGAAACCCTTGCGAACTTAGCAACAATCAGTATATGATAGCAATTGAACCAAAATATGTGCTGAGGACCTGGCTGACTACGCAAGCCTGGCCTCACGGAGAGCTAGCAGGTGGTGCGGTCCGTCCTTGCCGAACCTCACAGCAGACTGCTGGAATTGAAAAAAAAAGGGTACGAACAGAACGACGACTACTACTGCACAGCTCCTTCTGCTGCCTTGGCAACTATTGCTATCAGTACTTCCACTAGTCAGACCACCGCCACTACCACTACTACCACCACTACTACTACTGCTACTACTACCGCTACTACTACTACTACTACCACCACCACCACCACCCCTATTCTTGTTACTATTGGAATTACTATTGCTATTACTACTGCGACTGCTTGTACTCGTACTCGTATCTGTACTAGCACTAGTACTAGTACCACTACGACGACAACAACTACTACTACCACTACCGCTACTTACTACTACTTCCTACTACTTACTACTTACTACTTACTACTTACTACTTACTATTTACTACTACTACTACTACTACTACTACTCCTACTACTCCTACTACTACTCCTACTACTACTCCTACTGCTACTCCTACTCCTACTGCTACTCCTACTGCTACTCCTACTGCTACTCCTACTCCTTCTTCTACTCCTACTACTACTACTACTACTACTGCTGCTGCTGCTGCTGCTGCTGCTACTTCTTCTACTACTACTACTACTACTGCTACTACTTCTTCTACTACTACTACTCCTACTACTACTACTACTACTAC